TAAACAAATTGTTTGGATTCATTTGTATTTTATAGTGTAATTATTACATTGTTATCTCTTTTCAGTAAAATAAGAATACAAACACTGAAAGAGGTCCTGCTCTTTTACTTCCTGCTGCACGAAAAGACACGTGAGGAATGTAATTTTGAATCTTCTGACAGTACACAACTCCCCTTGCCCTATTGGTTGAGAGCTTAGGCTTCCAACTAAGAGGTACAAGGTTCGAGTCCATGTGTATGCGTTGTGTGTGTGAGTTTGCCTTAAATGGCCTAAATGTCCCCCAAAAAAAAAATCTTGTGACAGTAAGAGCTGGCTGCAGCGAGCAACGTGACCACGAGGGGAAATTTTTTTTTTGGGACATTTAGGTCATTTAAGGCAAATTCACACACACAACCCATACACAAAGACTCGAACCCAAGACCTCTTAGTTGGAAGCATAAGCTCTCAACCAACAAGCCAAGGTGAGCTGTGTATTTTTTTTTTTTCGAATGCAAAATAGCGGTACGTGAGTGTACTTTTATCATTATGGCTTTTTAAAATGTGCTTAGGAGTGTTTGATCTGTACTCATTTGGGCACAGATTGAGTCAGAATTTATTGTCGTTGGTTCATATTTTTTAGACCTTCAGTTCTACTATAAGCTCGCTGAAATTGAAGTTCATATGTTCCCCGATTTAATTTTTGAAGTTTCCAATTTGATTTTGCGTCAAGATTCATGCCCGATTATGGGTGCAAACGAGTCGAGTCGAGCTCGAGTTAGACAGTGTTCGAGTCGAGCTCGACTTTCAAATACCGAGCTCGAACTCGAGTTAAGCTCAAAATCCGAGCTCGAGCTCGACTCGTCTCATACGTCGAGCAGCTCGTTGAGCTCAGTCGAGCTCCGCTACGAACTTTGTCCCGAGTAGGCTTGTCCGTCGTCGAGTTCGCAGTAAAGATCCACTGGATCTGATCCAGCCGCGACGTCAAGATCGCGTCCGTCGTCGAGATCTAGATTTACGACCTCGTCATTTTGTTCGTAGTCGAGTCCATAGCTCGTCGTTGCAGCTGCCGTCGAGTCCCAAGCTCGTCTTCGCGTCCGCTATCGATATCCAAACTCGAGACTCGACGCCATTCGTCCGTCAAACTGCAAACTCACGTTTCGACTCCGTTGTCAAGATCCAAACTCGAGACGCGACCTCGACGTCAAGTCCCAAGCTCTGCCATTCGTCCGTTGAGTCTCGAGCTCATTTTCTTTGTCCGCCCAACCTTCATTCATCATCCTGCTCGCAGCTACCTAAATTTTTTTTCCCGTCCAGTCACACACGCAAGCTACTCGACAAGCCAACGAGCCGAGTCAGAGGTCTAGTTGAGCTCGAGCTCGATAAGCCATCGAGCTCGAAATGGTGTTTGAGCTCGACTCGCAAGCTCGACTTGTCGAGCCAGTTACCGAATCGAGTTCGAGCCGGCTCACGAGTCGGCTTCTTGACTCGTTTGCACCCCTATGCCCCATCAAAATAATTTTTTGATGATATATAGGAATAAAAAAGAAACACATAATTTGCTATTACGAAAAGAATTAAATAAAATAACTTCATTTACCTGAACCTTAACAACTACTACTACAAGAAATATTGATTTTAAATGTGGATTGTGCTGAATGAAATGACGCATTCAATAGAATGCGTCAAACAATTTAGTAAGTTCACTCCCTATTCAAATTTTATTATTTCGTGCTCCTGTTGCTAATTCATATTATTAGCCAGCTCCTTAACAAAAAGCTTATTATTTAGTTGTAATAGAAATAATTAATATAACTTCAAATATATTAAGCATTTTGATGTCAGGAATCTTATGCATGATGATAAATATAATTATTAGGTGACAATAAATAAAATTTATTATCATCAATATATTAATGAGTCACTTATATTCATGGGGCTAATAAATGGAGATATCACCACCCATTAAGAAAAGAAGAGTTCGATTTTTTAAAAAAATGGTAATTTGTAAAGGTAAAAGTAAATGACTTGATAGACAATTCTGCTTAAAAAATTCAAGTTCAAGCTGAATTGGTTGATTTTTAGATTGGGATTTGAGTTAGCTCAAAAACTCAAAATTGGCTCGAAATTGATCCGATTATTATTTGGGTTACGATAAAACAGGTTGAATTTCAGGATAAATGGGTCATGTTGTTTAAAAAATATTATATAATCTGCATTAGAAACTGGTTAAACAAGTCGGGTTTGAATTAGGAGATTTTCAGCCAAGTTGATTTATGTCAAATATTTTGACTCATATAATGAACTAGTCAAATTCAAACTTGTCTACTCAAGTTGGATTATCTTTAGATTAAATCTGAACCTGACTCAGCAATATAATTACACCCCTAATAATTCGCAGGAAGGAGAACAAATACAGCTGATGGAAGATTTTCTCGCAATCTTCTCTACAATGTCATGACTAGGTTTCATAAGAAATTTAGTAGCTATAAAAACCACCTTATATTCTGACATAATTTTATTTTCATTTGAAAGTCAAGAGATTATTTCTGTTTCCTCCTAAATTTCAAAGCTTTGGTAGGATTTGGTAGCTATTCTATTGGTGATTAACATATTGCTAAGTTAAATTTAATATAATATATAGTACTTTAAAAGGTCCAGACATTAGATATCAGATGCCCTGCTCACTTTCACATGGCGGTTGAAGATTTGAATCATTTGATAAACGAACACGTACGATATTTTATTTTGGCTATTAGAAATAATTATTATTAACTGTCACAATCTCTCACTTATGTTTCATTTGACTAACTTTTTTATTATTTTTTCAAATAATTTTTTATGATAAATTTTTGAACTAAAAAAATCATTTTAAGAAGAAATAAGAAATACTGAATCGATTTTTTTACTATTTTTTAAAACAATATTTTAATACAAAATTTCATAAAATAAAAATTTTATACTAAAAAATTGATTCAGAAAACAGTAATAAAGTCATCTCAAACAAAACCTTAGATTTAAGCCAACCATTGTAAGTTTTGAGCGGAAGCAAATAGATTTTTGAACAATTGCTGAAATTGATATTGTTTCAAAGAAGAAAATTTTATGATTTGATTCAGTGATACATCATAATATATTATTAATTAATGCTAATTATTTGATTGGTTGAAGCTTTTAAATAAGCTAATTTAAACAGTAATAAACTAATAATAATTAGTGCTTATTTTAATATCATTTAGAAGACGATTCATCAACATATTATATTATCTTCTTCCTCCTAAATTAACTGATAAAAAATTGCAATCGTCACTAAACAAAATTTATATTATTTTATTTGTATAGATATATGTGATAGATGAATTGTTATCCCAAACAAAACTACTATAGTACTATTAATATAATGAAATTAAATAAATATTTTATCAAGCACTTAAAAAATATTACTCTAATGGAGACTCAAAATAGGTCTTTCGATAATATTATATAAATTAAAACTTTTACTTCTTTGCCGCACAAAAATAATTTGACCGCACAGAAAATGCTGTGCTATCACCTATAGCCTCAATAACCTTTCCTCCTGAATTTCAAAAGTTAATTAAAAAAACATATGAGCGTCCACAAACTTGAGCTTTATTTAGAACAAATTTTTTTACTATTTTAAAAATAATTTTTTACTACAATTTTAAAAAAAAACACTGAAATATTAATAACCAAAAGTTGCTCCAAACAAAACTTTTTTTCTAGATTTGATCAATTAAATCAAATTCATATACACATCACATACGTAAAGTTCGAAAGAGGATTCATTTGGTATAGCTTTCTTAATTATTTTTAAAGCAATATTTTTATTAAAAAATATCTTGAATTAAATTTTTTTTTACTTAAAAAAACTGCTTAAAAAAACAATGAGAACATTTTACTAAACTAAACCAAAACTTCAAACCGACATACCAAAATTAGCAACATTCCAAAAAATAACCCTTAATTGATAAAAATTCTAAAATTAAAATATTTTTGTGAAGGCCCTAAGCCACTTTAATTAAATTTATATTTCAACATCCTGAAATAAATAAATATATAATAAAAATAAATAGTGGCTAAATGGTTAATAGACATGAAATCCCAACAAATTACTTTTACCAAAATATAAAAAATGAGGAAGTCTACAATGACGACCACCATTCACTCTCACTACTCTCCCTCCTTGAATTTTTTTTTTTTTTTTTTTTTTTTTTTTTTTTTTAAAAAGAGAGGAATTTTTGGTTTTTTTTTTTTTTTTTTTTTTTTTTTTTTTAAGACGAAAGGCATATTGAGGCTTGCTTTGGGACTGCTCTTTTATTGCTTCTTGAAACAGTTTTATAATATAAAAATTAATTTTTTTTGCATAAAAAATTATTTTAAAAAGCAGCTGAACAAATCAAATGCAAAGAATTAAAGAACCGCTCTCTTCATTAAACGGGATTTTAATATAAAAAGGGACTATTGAACCGACAGTTTTATATCTCAGTCAGATTTAACAAATTCAACAAAGTTGCTAAGGGGTCAAGCTTTGAAAATCCAGCGCAGTGTGGCTGATGGGTCATAAGAGTTAGTTGGTGGTTCGCATTGGTTGGGGGAGTTTTACGTAATTTCGTCATATTTGGTGCGTAATCTTAACCTTCCTCTTGATCTTTACGCAAATAGATAAATTATATAGACATATACAATGAATAACAATAAAATGAGGACAAAAAAACAAAGATATTTGATAGATCCTATAGTATGAATAACAAGAGAAAATGAAAGAGATCTGACAAGAAAAAAAAAAACAATTGAATACCTCAGTCAGTTACATTCCTCATTTTCACAAAAAAATTATTCTGCGTGGATCCCGGACGGCGTCCGAAGACCTACCAGAACACGCCACATCGTTTTTTCGCTCGGTGTAGAATAACATGGCACGTTCTGATTGATCTCCGAATCATCCGGTGTCAACACAGAATAATTTCTGCAACTTCACAGGGTAATGTTGCGCCTCAAAAAAATTTATAGATAAAAAATGTGATTCACTTAGATGACCCAATAAAAATAAGGTTTCGTTTGGGACGGCTTCTTAAAATAACTGTTTAATTTTATACTAAAAAGTTGCTTTAAGAAACAGTAAACAAGCGGTCCCATACAAATAGCAGACTCTCCATACAACTTGGTGTCATCGCCATTTCATTCCAAGTTACATCATTCGAAGACGCTTGCAATGTGTAATGGCATTGCGAATACCTTTACCGGTGACAGAAAATGGTGCCGAAGCTGAAGGCAGGTAAGGCGATTTCTCAATGCGGGCATGGCGATCATTACCGTCCCAGTACAAGATAACTCTGTTTGTGCAGGAATGAGACCAAGTATCACCTATTAACACAAGAACATAAACATGAAATAAGATAATTTGAAAAATCTTCCATTACAAGCACTGGCGGATTCAGTATGGGGGCCCTGGGGGCACGGGCCCCCACTGAATTTTTAATTAATGCCTAATTAAACCTATTTATTGCTACCAAATTTAATTAAAAGCAGCTATTAAGGGTTTTTGAATTAATATTTCCGCTGCACTCTTTATTTTGGCGGAAAGTGACGGGAACCGAAAGGGCCGGGCAAAACACAAAAGTCTAACGCTATCCTTCTTGTTCACGGCGGGCGGCGGCTCGCCGGCTTGCGACCGGACGGCGGAAGAAGGGCGGACGCCTGGACCAGCTAAACGGAGACTGCGGGTAGCGGGCTAGCGACATATTTCGTGTGTACCTACTCGAGTCTCGACTGCTCATCCTGTTTGGTAGATTTGAGGAATCAAAAGGTATTTGATTCTGCTCCTCCACGCCTCCACTGCTTCTTAGTATTTCTTTGGAAGATTTGAGGAATCAAAAAGTATTTGATTCTGATTATTTCTTGATCAAACCTTCAAACGTGATCTCCTTTATTGCATTACAAGCAGTTTCTGATTGAGGGAGAACTTGATTGTCGCTTATTTTCAACTCATCCATTTGAATGTTCTTCGAGTTCCATTTATCATCAAAATATAAGTTGTAAAATGCTGATAAAGCACTTTTTTTTCTTCAGCTGATTTTATATCATAAATGATTTTTGTTGCAAATTTTTTCGTTTCCTTATAGCATTACTGTAGGCTGAGCTGAAAGTGCTGCGTGAAGCTGCACAGTGGCGACGTTTGCAAGGTTAGGTACTTATTGCTTGAGCTAGAGTTGATTCCACATATCAGTCTTTAAAAAGAATGATGAGCGCAATTTAAAGAGAGCCAATTCAAGATATTTAGGATGAGTCCGACTGTTTGGATGAATGATTGTTTACTTGTATTGAAAAGAATATTTTTAAAGGTATTGACAATGATTTGATTGTACAACGATTTCAAAAAATGAAGTCTCGACGGGAGAAATTATAGAGGACAAATAAGAAGAATTTCAAGATTAGTGTTCTCAATTGTAAGTTTTTTGCTTTATCATATATTTTATGTTTTTATAATGAATAAAATGATTAACAAAAAAATTAAAACCGCCATTTCAAGTCTCAAGCCCGGATGAAAAAAGTTGAGGATTTTTTTTTACATCAATAATTTGTGCCCCCACATGAAAAAAATCCTGGCTCCGCCCCTGATTACAAGGAAAAAAATATCGAAGACGCTTGCAAGGTGTGATGGCATTGCGAATACCTTTACCGGTGACAGAAAATGGTGCCGAAGCTGAAGGAAGGTAAGGCGATTTCTCAATGCGGGCATGGCGATCATTACCGTCCCAGTACAAGATAACTCTGTTTGTGCAGGAATGAGACCAAGTATCACCTATTCAAACAAGAACATAAACATGAAATAAGATAATTTGACATGTATGCCTATTTATAGGACCTATATATTCTTCACAAGTCACAACATGGTAATATAGTAGGGTTAATCAACCTTAATTAACTACCCTTCTTGATTAGAAGAAATGAAATTCAAGTAACACTAGCACATAAGCTCTATGATATTTTGCTTTAGTATCAACAATTTGATAAAAGTGTTATACCCTTATTAAGTCAAAACAGACAATGGGGGAACGACAAGTTTGATTAAGATCTTAGAATTCTATCAACTCAAGATATCATGAAACTTATTCTACATATTAAGAGTAGTCAACACAACATGGTCGAAATAACATTGTCAGCAACCATTGATTCTGTCATCCAATGGGACCTCATAGACCTAAAGTAAAACTAAAGCTTATCGAGGGGCTGATCATACATATGACATTAAGCCCTACAGGTGGTGTCTGATGGCTCACACAACTAATAGATTTGGTCATTAAAGAATATCCAGGCTTAGGTCATAATCATTATGTAATGTCGTTATCACGATTAGAATAAATACTTGTTGACCCATATGCGCGAAAACACACGAAAAAGGGGTGAAAATTGATTGAAAGAGTCAAACATCCTCTGATTGCCAAACGGATTGAGTGGTTGTGATCGGAGCATCGAATAAGTGGGGACCCCTCACAGTCAAATCAGACGAGATCGGTCAAAACAGACGACCAACACCCAAAATTGACACGTGAAAATCCCGCTGAACCCTGATGTTTTGCACTGCTTCGTGATCACTTCTTGTAAATCCCATGGATTACCTCAGACAAGCATTTGAGTCGTTGTTAAAATGGAATCAAATGAGCTTCGCTTGTTTTCGGTTCTTCGCAAACGCTCATGGCCTTCCTCTTCCGGTCTTTTTCCGATCCAACTAGCCGATGCTCCTTAACCAAGCAATCGAAAGCCCAGCCAGCTTCCCGTCTTTTTCCGATCCACCTAGCCGATGCTCCAATTCACGCAAGGTCAGGCCCGTACTCAACTTCCCTCTAGCGACCAAACTCCCCTGTTCTGATTTCCCTCACAGCCCGTCAACCCACACGAGAAGAGTCAAACCAACTGAAATATCTCCACTCAAGTCCCTCTCCAAAACGACTCCAGCACTCTCCGATCCCGTTTGCTTCAGCCGAACTACTCACCCCAATCAATCAATCGGCCACACAAACCTCCTCTCATGTCTAATCCCTTGAAGCTTGTGAAGGATTTCAGCAGTCAGTCCAAACAGCGGCCTTTTTCACGTGCTTTCCCCCGTCAAATACAGCCTTTGCCTTCTGTTTGCTGCCGTGAACAGCCATGAGAAAGCTCTTAATTGAACAACAACTGCAGCAGATTTTCCACTACCTTTTTGCCTCCCGGACGTGACTACACCCTTTTCCTTCCTTTGTCACTTTATTAAGGCAGCTTTCATACATTTCCTTCTAAATCCCCTCAACCAAACAGATAAATAACCCACCTGTTCTACACTCTAATTAACCCCCTCCAAACCGACGAACGATAACCCATCCAATCCCTCCAAAATTTCCCACGCAGTAAGTATTTTTATTTATCTTATATTATTCTAAATTATTCTTTGTTAGCATAAGTTGTCATTATTAATTAAAATATATTGGCTAATGTTATTAGTTATTATTATTGCTAAACATATATGTGTGCGTGTGTATATATATTAAAAAAAAAAAGAAGCACAAGAAAAAAGAGTAAAGAAATAATTCCAAAAAAAGGAGAAAGAGGTTTCAAAAGAAGAAGAAAGAGAGAAAATAGAAAATGTTTATGCATTCATCGTCATCACCATCATTGCTTCACCCGTAAAGGTATAACATTCCAAAACTCAAAGTCATGTTTCTGGCATTCGCGGGGCGCCGGGGGACCCCTATGCACGCTTTTCTCTAGCGTAGTGGGGGGAAACCCGATGCGGCGCCTGCGACGAAGCATGTGAGCCTTATGCACATTTTTCTCTAATGCAGCAGGGTAAAAATTAAGTACTCTTATATGCTTCAATGCATGCGGGGAAAAATTGTGCTTTCAAAACAGGTACCCCTGAAGACCCGTGCACGCCTTTCTTAGGCGTGGTGGAACCAAATACTATAGCCGCAGTGTCTCTAGACACGGGCCATGCACGTCTTTCTCAGACATGGTGGACAAACTATGATTCCTGAAATTTCCCCTAAACAGAGGAGCCTAAAGGCTGCCGGAATTTTTAGTGAACTGGAAACTTAAACAAATTTGCAAGGGACTTGATTGAATCAAAATGAATAAAACTTGACTTGAGCCAAAATGTAGAGGACCTAATTTGAACTTGAAATTGAGACAAAAGGGGGGCTTGCAAATTTAAATTGAACATACAAATTGAACCATATGAAAAATGACATAGCCAAAAATGAAGTAATGATTTGCAAAATAACAAGCTCTAACTTAAAGGAAAATAAACATATATAAGGTTGTTGGTGGAAAAGAGATTTGCAAACACTTCTCACAAGTGGTAGTGAAATTGTAAACAACATAATCAAATTTCATGCCATGATATGATGTTGTCAATGGATAACATGACTTGCTCGCAACGATCAACAATAATCAAAGATGGCATGTGAACTAATGTCAAATAAGTACATTGAAACCTTCCAAGTAAGAAGGGTTGAAATGCAGTGAACATATGAACCTACATGTTAATAGTGACACTTCCTACAAGCATATGCAAGAGAATGAGATAAATGTGCAAACATGCTTAATGCATTTAATGAATCATGTAACTTACGAACAAATGCATCAATTTCTCATGAGAATTGAAAGTCAAAGTATAATGCATGCTGCAGATCATCTTGGAAGTTAACAAAGAGCCTATGACATATACAACAGTCCATTTACAAGCAACTTTAAGAGACTTATAGGTCTTTTGTGAACAACATCAAGTTACATACAAATGGATGCAATATGCTTGTCAACCTATAAATGAACTGAAGGGGTACGCAATGAATATAACGATATCCCTCCAATCAATGTTAATTGGCTTGCAAATACATGCAACAGCCTTGTATGAACATGAAGCCAGTATGCAAGTGAATGCAACAACCTACCAGTCAATGTGCATGACAGGGTTGGCGACAAATGTTGCTTGACCGGCAGCATACAACATATTATGCAATGACGAAAAAATGTGTCATATATGCAACAATAATAATCAAGAACATGCAATAGATGGTACAACAACTTTGTAGTCAACAATCAGTCAATGACCATCAAATACATTGATTTATTGCAAGCAGAGGCCGATGATATGCAGTAAGTGCAAGTGCCCAAAGGTGATTTTAGAAGACTTGTTATATACCCAACACACTATCCACAAGCGAAATGTAAAATGACTACATCAAATGCAAATGCCTACGAGCCATTGTAAGAAGCCCATCATACACATCACAAGCAAAGCACAGGAGAAATGTGATAAATACAAAAAATCTACGAATGATGCTAGAGGATTTGCATTCAATACAACTCGCCCGTGGATAACAATAGAAGACCTCTAATGTGTACAACAATCATGTTTGCAAGCGGTGATATAGGAGATATGCTACAAATATGATGAATCTCCTCTACATCTAGATGCTTATGCGACATGCAATTTACAAGCAAGAATGCAAAAAGGGCAAGAGCAAATGCAGAATAATTGCAGGAAACACAAACATCTATAAGCCATAGCAGGAGAGTAGTTAGTGCACAATAATTTACCTATACAAAATAATGGGCAACTCATAGGATGATGCCATGCCACCGGATCTGCAATACTCGTACAAGCAGACAAAAGGCATCTATAAGTTACTAAACAAAACATTGTGTACACTCAAATGACAACCATTTGCATAGCTGCTCGTTTTAAAAATACCCCCCCCTCCCTCATGCATCGAAAGAGTGCTGATACATTCATACATGCATACACATAAATATGTTGTCTACACTTGTAGCACTGCATACGTACAACTGTTACATAAATACGTTATGCAAGAATGCATGCAAAATCATATATCCGCATATGCCTCGACGAGCATGTTATGGGTATACACGTGTCGTCTAAAGATGCTGCGCGGGTCGATAAATGAATATAAGATCAAGCTCGATCCTTCTAAGAGGGTAGATAGGAGTCAACACGGCTCGAGCTATCAAACAATCATACGGTCATGGCGCCGATCAGAATATTTATTTTATACATTCATATTAGGCCTTCAAGACCCTCAACAAGAAAAAATCATTAAAAAAGGCATAAAGCCAACGGTGAACGAGATCTTCTATCGTCAAGTAGACATAGTCGACAAGGTTCGACCTTATGAAATAAAATTAACCATAAAAAATCCCGATGATGGCCGTATTGACAAAAAACCTCAATCAAAGGGGACCCCAAAATATTTGAAAATACCTCCCAAATGCCAATAAAAAAATTCAAAATTCCAAAGTGCAAGATATTTAAAATTAAAATTAATTATCAAACACTTAAAAAACAAAGATACCTCACCATCCGCAACAGTTTGTCAATGTGGACAAATATGAAAATTACTTCAACTCACAAAGAACAAATATCTAATCAAGAATATCACTATGAGTCATTCTCAATCTGTCTTTTGCCAGTAAGAGCGTAACAAATGTCCTCCAACCGGTGGTTTCGCCGCCAAATAGCACCACAAGTAAATGATTATATTACGTTCATGTTAGAGCCCGTATGTTCCCCAACAACATCAAATCATTGAGTAATTAATCAATATGATATAATTGATAGGGCACAAAGCCCTCTGTTAGCTAAGATGGATTTAAATTTATCCCCTTAGACAAATATTCACCCCAGGTCTACAAGGTACCCTTGAACGAAGCAAGTCATGGCCACCGATAAGGATCCTCCTATCATGTTGGGTAGACTATCTCCTTTGATTAAGTAGACCAAGGACCATAATGGCCTGAGACGGCGAAACCGTGGGATCTTGATCAGTCTCATCATCATTCCCACACCATTCGCTTTAAGTGTAAGATGGTGAAATTTATATTTTTAAATATCAAATTTTTAAATACATAAACCATGCTACTACTATACGCCAAATATCATGTATATGTTTGACGACTAGCCTTAATCGAAAGTTCTCTCTCATGGTACATTGATTTCATCTAGGTTCAATTTGGATTGCATCGTGACACATAAATAGGTCAAAATAACTTTGTTGGGGGAAATTAGTCCTGGAAATACAAAAAAAAAAAAAACAGAGCATTGTACCCAAATCTAATATTAAAGCTGAATACATGGCCATGGCTAATTCTGCAATAAACCAGGAGCATTGTATCAAGATATATTTTGATATCTTCATAATTGACAGCATTATTCTCTTTTATTTATTTTCTTATTATATCCTGTTGTACCCAACATAATCAATCGATAATATAACAGACTTTATTCTTCACGACACTCAAATTCCCCTCATCCAAACAGATCTTTAATGTCTTTTCTCATCAACATGAAATTAGAAAGTTTGCCCCACAAATAAGATTAATCCACTTTGCAATTACAGAGCAGACATTGCCTGAAGGCTTATAAGATTTGTTCATCAAAAGCAATACAATAAGAAATATTATAAGATAATGAAAGAATACCAAGTGCAAGCGTTAACTGGAATGAGCCTTCTGTATGCTTTGCAGTGACATGATTAAGTAATAAAACCTGCAACACAAAAACTGATTTGCAGCAGTTCAAATAAACACAAAACTCGATAGAAATGGTGATATCCCACAGAATTAATATTCTCTTTTTATACGCGCATAACTGTTTTCCATATTGATAAAAAGTACAGATCACATAAACCTGCCATGCCTTGAACTTGTCGACTTGGGAAGGCGTCATAATTACAAATGAAACATTATGAACCAAAATTATTTTTACTAAATGCCAAGCAAATGCCCATCTAACAATCCATAAAATAGTTTGAAGCTACTACAGAAGCAAAATATGTAAAAAATAAATAAGCATTGCAGGTAGCATAAAAAACCCAGAAATGTTTTACCAATGTATTTCAATAATCAAAATTGCATATCATCAAAGAAAGTTATATATTGAAAATCGCATTTATCTTCTAATGTAATCAAAACCATCTACCATAAGAATTGTAATGCGTATGATTAATAATCAAACTCTCTAAAAGTTACTTAAAATAATGCATGCCATAATTCCAGTGATGCTAAGAGAATGGGTGATTCTGATCTTACATTTGAAGTACAATATCAAAATCTAAATTGAAGATGAATGTAAATTCTCCACCTAGAAGGAAAAAAAAACCATATTTGAAACCTTTAGCTTGTTTCTACACATCATGTACAAGTAACAGCTTACATGGATCTGATAATAATTTAGCAATACATTTCTAGCATATTTTCCCTAAATAAATGCTTATTCGAGTACATATATATATATGCATACAACTTATAACAAACCAAAATAAACTTTCAAGTGAAAAGATTATAACACTTACAGCCACGGCAAATCTTTCAGCAAGTTTCATCAATTGCCTGGACATTTCGTTAAGCACAATAGTCCTTTGGACCATTTCTTTAAAATCTTGGCGAAAGTGAAATGAGATGCTGTCGATGATAACAATTTTCACCTACCATAATAACAGTCAGAAAATCAGAGTGATATCCAAAATGAATAAAATAATATTTCTCAAAGATTCCTATGCAGAGTCATAAACTTCATGGGGTTTATGAACAGAATTATTTAATAAATGGCGAATCATTTCTCGTACGTAAATAAATGTAAATTATGCAAAAACTATAGTTATGGTCTGCAGCTTAACAAAGATTAATAAAAGGGCTTCCAATTATAGAATTTAGTAAAATACTTCTTATAACAAGCTAATCATAAAATTCAAAAAAAGATTAAAGGAGAAACAGAGAAATATCAATAAAGCCACCCAATCAGGAACCACGATTTCTTAGGTCAAAGAATATAATTGAAAATACACCTGAATTATATGGGCTGACGAGGTTGGTAAGAATACAGAAGGTTAAAGTCAAGCAGGACAAAATTAAGAAACAGAATACTATAAGTGTGAACCAAAATGGAATCTCTAAGCAAATAAACATGTATTACTCGCGAAGGGTGTGGTTAACTATATTTAAACAACACGAATAGACAATAAATTCGCTGAAAAAGAATGAGATTTAAATAACTCATCTGATGAATAAGATCTGTTAACATTTGCGATTCAGCTAATCACGCTCAGACTAGTGCTTCAATTGGGGCCAGAAGCCATTGAAAACACTTGTCCAACTCAATAAACACAAACTACTATAATTATTAATACTTTGAATCTTCAAGAATAACTTCCAATGGAATGCTATGCAAACTTTTCCTCACTGTATCCAAATAGAATGTATACACTTCAAATGCAGAACATGCAGAGTATATGAAGCAAAGATTCTCCCTGCTGTGAAGGAATTGAAACCGCAAACTGCCAATTTAAGTTCATTTTGGAACATATCAGAAATTTCAAATGTTTAATATATGTTGACCCCTACACATCAAAAAACGCAAAAAGAGGTGAAAACGGTGATTTAAACAACGCACGCGTTGGCACGGCGCATCACTTTAAGGGTCAAACGACCTCTGATTATCAAACAGACGGTGCTTTTGCAATCAGAACGTCAAATTCAAAGCATTATTTCTTTTAAAGTTAACTAAGTTCAGTTAATACATCCTAATTATAATACACTCTTAAATAAATTAATAATTACTTAATAGTTAATTATTGTTAAGTGAACTTAGTATTAGTATTGAGTAAAGTATTAAATGAAATTAATTATTCATATATTCCTGAAGAGGTGTTCCTTTGGACATGATTGTTTGATAGCAGTTATACAACAGCGGGCCCGTTTTTCAAAAGAAATCCTATAGTGGTATTCAGTTGGGAGAAAAGAAAGAAGTTTTCGCAAGCAAGTGTAGGAATTCCTGTAGATCAGTTCGGCACAGTGCTCCTGTGGAGTGGAATTCAGCACAGTGCTCTACTGAGAATTCGGCACAGTGCACTAGGGAAGTTCGGCAACTGAAGGGAGGATCTACTTAGTGCAATGCAGGAGGGTTCAGCAGTGTAAATATTAACGGCATAGTGAAATGGAAGCTATTTGAAAACTGTAACAAAGATTTGGATTTGATTAATTTGCAACTGTGTGATGAATTGTAATTTGATGTGAGTGTGCAAGCTAATTGAAGGAACAATGACTGTGGGAGAATTCAATTGATGAGAGTGAGAAATTGCTTCGAGGAAACAGTAAAAGAAGAATAAGAAAGAAAACTCAGAGAAGAGAAAATCGGGGCTAGCAAATTGGTTTATATTGCAATGTTATGGTCGTTTTATTAAATTCCAAATGATAGTGCAAATCCTTAAATGAGATTTCAGCAACTGTAGGAATTACCTAGATATATGAAGAAGGGAGGTTTTGATGAAATTTATTATTTTAATATAAGTTAATGTTATGCAAAATTAATTGAGCAATATATTATGGAATTTATGGAATGTAAAAGAGATAATTGTAGGTAACTTACAATCAAGGAAGGGTACGAGGTAGAGGATTTGAGGAGTCAGTTCTTCAAAAAAAGTAAGTAATGTAAATTTAATTTAAAAAGTATATACAATTATTTTTGTAGACAAATACACTATCATTTAATGATAATTTAAGAAAAGAGTTAATGATGTTATTAATGTATGTTCACAACCAAGTATCAAAATAATACTAATAAAATCTTACCTTCCCCAGTCGTCGAAGCCCTCGCCCATGCTTGCCTCCCTCGTTTGCTGATAAATCCCGAGCTCTAACTTGCACACATGTGTCTTTCCTTTCTCCTCTCTTTTCCTTCTCTTTCTCTATATTTATTTCCTTCTCCTTGTTCTTCCTCTTGATTGCTTCCTTCTCAGTTCTTTCGCTCATTTGTTGAACTGGGTAAAGTGAAACGAATATATCACATATGAGGAGTCACTAACTTTCATTTCTGAGGACGTTTCCTCGCTCATTCACAACGTTCGGCTCCGCCATCTGCTCCCGCGTCCGTGCTCGATCCGTTCGGCCCGCTCGGTTACTGCTCGTATGCATGCGGCTCCTCTCGATTTAAGCTACGACTGGTTCAACTTAACCGGTCAAACCGGTTCTTACACATATGACCAGAGGCATGTAGCTTAAGGCATACGCCTCAAATGAGAAAGGCATATGATGAGAACATCGACAGACGTTTTCGACGAGTATATCAGCACAGGAGTGGCAGATCGATGGCTACGATCCACAGCCTTTATTTTGATGCTTAGTCTTTATTTAGATGTTTTATGTATTAATTGTTATTTACGGTTGTACTCTTTCTTTTGAATCTGCTTGAATTGTAGCCCCATGAGCATTTGAGTCATTGTATTTTTATTTCCTTAGGCCTATATATTGTGACTTCCTCTATTGTATTGGATGATGATTTATGAATGAAATTTCAGATTTCTTACTTGATCTCAAAGTGAGTTCTTGAGAGGAGAAACACTAGGTGGGTGAAAGCAGTACTCGTCATCGTTCGGAGGATTCCAAGGTTCGCGGCCCCAATCTTTTCTTTTATTTTTTCCTCTACTTCCACCTCTTCTCCTAGCCCCTACCCGCCGGCCTCTCAAAACCCCATCCCATGTACCTCCTCCCAAAACCGAATCCCACCACCAACCCACCTCACTCTTGTGCCGCCGGCTTCCCGTCTCCCATCAACCACCGGTTTTCCCCTCCCCTTGCTCCAAAATTCAACCAAGCCAAACTCCCCAACCCCCACCGCCGGCCACCCCTTGTTCTTTTCCCTTAATGTTGATTTCAATCCCCATTAAGACTTTCCTAATTCAATCCACTTAATTTTGGGAAGAGATTTCATCCTTTTGAAATTCAAAATTTGAATTTCAAAAACCTTCCTAAATTGACTAAGCCAAATTAGGAAAGTTTTCAAATTTTCAATCTAATTTAATATTAAATTAGATTGGATTTCTTCACCTTTTTCCTAAAATGTGTTAATGCATTAAGAAGCATATCCCCTTTCCTTTTTCGTCTCTCCTCACATTAACACAACCTAATTTTGGATTTGGAATTCAAATTCAAATTTCTCTCCCACTAATTAATTTCAAACTCTAAAATTAATTTCAGATTTCCCCACCCAACCTAATCCTTGCTAAGCCCCTATCTGCCCCACTCTTACTCGACCCCTCTCCCTCTTCCTCTCATGGCCAATCCTCCCTCCCCCAAACCGACACCCCTCCCTCTCTCCTTACCACCTCAATTCTCCTCCTCCCTTCTCAAGGCAAGTATGCATGGCCGATCCTGAGATCGACCACAGCTTTGTTTACAACACCCAAGGAGAGATAGATATCTTCTAATCTGCTTTCTACGAACCAGATTGGGAGTACGACGACTCGATGGAACACTACGTCAACCGCATCGTTTACTGTCTCGCCGAGACGATCGAGCTCCAACGACCCAGAACACCTTGGCTCCTCGTCGGAAGATCCTTGCATCCTCCACCGCCGGCTACCTTCCCAAGAACAAAGCTCCTCGATTCTTTCTTCCTAGTGGTGATTTCAAGTCTAGTTTGGAGGATCTTCATCCGCTAAGACCTAGAACCGTAGAGTGAGAAAACCTTTAAGGTGAACATCTCATTATTAAATTTCGGTTTTATGTTACAAGCTATTAGTGTTTCTACTGTCTTTGTATTTGACTAAGAGGGTCTTGGTTAATCTACATGTGTTTCTTTGTCTAAACAAGTGAAAAACTACGGATCCTTAAATTCCTTTTGTCTTGAAGCATAATTTTATAAAGGTAAACTTTTAACAACTTTCTTATTAATTTTCTCGCTAACTCCTGGTAGTTTCACATCAGCATAAGTCTCACTCATACCAAAAAAGTCATACGCCTTGATGAACTTATAAAATTTATTGGGGAGGCGTGCACCTCGAATGCCCTTTTAAAACATTATTCAATAAGAGCTACTTTAATAATATTTCTATTGATTTTTGTATGTTGCACACTTCTAATGATCCATATCTTTCTGCTAGCTTTGATTAGCCTTTCTCACAAGAAGAACTCAAAGGGTAGCGTCTTCTTTTGTGCCATTTTTGAGAAATAGGGGACATCGTTCATTTGGTTTTGGCTTTTATGTATAGAAACAACTTAGGTAAATCCTCTCTTGTTAGAATGTGTTCACTTTTTATTTGTCTTATACCTAAGAAAGAATATTGAAAGCTTCTGAAGGACCACAAAATCATTAGTTCGCTTAATGGCAGTTTCAAAATATTCTCTGAAGTCCTTAAATGGTTTTGCCATATTTGGTTTATGTTTTCCCAGGACCTTTTATAGCTAGTAAGGAAATTATTGACTGCATTGTTAGACCCCATATATTGATCCATTCTATTGCCAAGCAAAAGAAGGAAATGTTCATTTTAACAACTGTGACTAGAGCTTTGTTTTTCATACTCTTAAAGGGGCCCATTTTTTCTCCTGTGATTTCTCTCTTGGATTATGGAATATCATCAGCATGCAAATTCTTACGTTATTGTGAACGGTGAACTTAACAAGCAATTCAAATGCATCAACAGTCTAATAGAACCATTTTTCTCCTCCTCACTTTATTATTGTAGCGGATGTCCTTCCAAAAGTGACATTCTGCTTATATTAATGGTCAGATCTATGAGTACTGCTAAGAATGGTGTACCCCCAACAATATTCTAAAATTTGTAGATGATACTCTGTTATTCTATGGTGCTACTTCCTTCCAAGCCAACATTTTATATAATATTTTGATCTTCAATGGAATTGACTTAGGTCTAAATCTTCTTTGATCTTCCTCGGTAAATGTTGTGGCAAGCGAATATTCCAACTAACCTTATGTTCCTCCAAACCCTTCCATTCAAGTAATTGGGTTCTTCTTGGTATAAAAATGTTGCAAAGAGCCTTTAGAAATCCTCTTATCTAAACAATTCAATTGAACCTCTTTTTTAAAAGATTCAATTGAAACTTCCACTCAAAAGTTAATTACATTTCTAAAAGTAGTAAGATTGTGCTTGTTAATTCAGTGCCTAATTTTATTCTTCTCTACTATTCTTTCTTTTGGGTTTTCAATTCAGTAATAAAAAAGATCGATGGTATTAGAAGGAATTTTTTTTTCTAGAAAGCAAGTGACAAAGGAGGAGGAATTGGGGGATTAAATCCAATTAAATGAATAATAAATTTATAGGCTAAAGATAAAGGTGGTATTGGTATTAAAGACTTACGATAGAAAGTTTAATTGACTAGTTTTGGGCCTTCAATTCCTTTAATATTGTATGTTTATATGCAATTACTATTTCCTAGCAATTAAGAAAATCAGCTAATTACATACTGCTGTAATAATAGATGCAAGTTCTTATGCGACCTACATGACAGCTAACAAATGATACCGCAGACCAAGGCCCTAAAACATGCATTTCACCTTCAGTCACTCAAAAACTCATTAAATCAACCTCACATACCATACTATTAATCAAAATATAGAGCAATAAACAATTTCCATTGAAGTTGCTGCAACAAAGGGTAATTTGAATAGCACAATTTGTAAAATAAAACAGCATAGAATCTGCAAAGCACCAAGAAAAATTTTCAGTAAAAACATGATAAAATAATAGAATACCCTAAATGTCATCACCTTTAGCATGCAAAGACTTAAGCGATACAACAACAACAACATCAAGCCTTTATCCCACTACGTGGGGTCGGCTACATGAATCCTTTTTCTCCATTGTGTCATATTAAAAGTCAAATTCTCGTTTAAATCTAATAAAGAAAGGTCATTTCTAATATTTTCTAACAAAGTCTTTTATAGGTCTACCCCTAACTTTCTTAACATAAATCAAATCTAATACCTACTACTCTCCTAACCGGGTCATCGGAAGGCCACCGTTTTATGTGACCAAACCATCTAAGGAGACTCTCTCTAATCTTATCTTCTACTAGAGCTACTTCCAACCTTTTCGTATATAGCTATTTCGTTATTCGATCTCTAAGGGTAAAGCCACTCATCCACACTAAGCATCCTCATCTCCGCCACACTAACTTAGTATTATGCTTTCTTTTATGGCAACATTCGGCACCATAAAGCATTGCAGGCCTCACTACCATCTTATAGAATTTTCCCTTTAAGTTTGAGGGGTACATTTCTATCACATAACAAGTCGATGCATTCCTCCACTTCAACCATTCCAACTTGAATTCTGCTGATAATATCCCCATCAATTTCACCATCACTCTCGGAGCAACTTAGATCCAAGATATCTAAAACGTGTATCTTATTATGACTTGATCGCCCAAAGTCACAATCCCCTCACTAGGTCTATTACTACTAAAAATTACACTCCATATATTCCGTTTTATATCTACTCAAGCGAAAACCTTAGACTCTAAGGTTGACCTCCATAATTCAAGTTTACCCGTTCAACTCCCTCTCTTATCTTCTAACTATAAAAGAAAAAATCATCAGCAAAAAGCATAACCAAGGTACTCCTCTATGCAAATGTCTAGTGAGAACATCCATGACTAAAGCAAAAAGATATGGGCTAAGGCTGATCCTTTGATGTAACCCAACTGAAATAGGGAATACTTAGTCAATCCACCTTGTGTTTGAACACAAGTAATAGCTCCGCATACATTCTTTAATGATTTGAATATAAGCATTTATTGAACTCCTTTCTTTTCAGAAACTCTCCATAGCACTTCTCTTGGAACTTTATCATATGTTTTTTCTTAAATCAATAAAATATCTATATGTTAGATCCTCCTTATTTTTATATATTTCTCCATCAAACCTCTTAATAAATGTATGGCTTCCATAGTCGACCTACCGGCATGATCCAAATTGATTTTGATGAACATTAGTATCACGCCGCAACCTATGCTCCATAACTCGCTCCATAGTTTTAAAGTATGACACATAACTTAATACCTCTATAATTTCGCACAATCTTGTGCAATCACCTTATATTCTTAAAAATAGAGAATTACACACTCATTCTCGCACTCATCTGGCATCTTTTAGTCTTCAAAATTAGTATTATAAAAAATTATAGTAAGCCATGCAAATATCCATTCATCTCCTAGCATTTCCACACCTCTATGGAATATCCATCAGGTCCAACAGCTTTTCACCCTTCATTTTCTTTAAGCCTCTCTAACTTCAGTTTTACTAATACGCCGATAAAAAGCAGAAATCTTTATTTCATTTAGGGTGCTAAGTCACTATAATCAATCTTATTTTATAACTTCATTAAAAAGTTTAACAAATATCCTCATCCACCTTTGTTGATATATCATCTTCTAAGAAAGTATTTATCTTCATCTTAATACACTTCACTTCAACTAAATACCTTAATACTCCTATTCTTTGTTTTGGACTAACTCTATACATATATCTTCTCCCTCTTTAGTATCTAATTATATTTATCAATCACTAAAAGCTAATGTCTTTTGCATCGCATATATGCTTTATTAGTATCCTTACGAGCCACTTTTATTATTTCCCAATTATCATAATTTTAAAATTAAACCAATTTTAAAACAAAACTTCTTATTTTATATCTTTTCTTGCACATTTGGATTCACCACCAACGTATTTTACTAATTATGAGCTTTTCCCTTTGATACTCCAAGGATATCTTTTGCAATATTTCTAATATCACCTAGCACTTATTTTCCACATAACATTAGCATCCTCATGCACAGACAAAAAATCTTAAAGACAAAAATTCTTATCTCAAAAAAATATTTTGTTAATATTCTTTAAATGCCCCTATCTAATCCTAAAAAATGTTTTTACTTTATTTATTTTATGCCCTTTATCTTAAAGTCCAAAACTAATAATCGATGTTTGGTACATAAATTTTACTCGGAATAACTTTACAATCTTTTCAATCTAAACGATTTAATTCTTCTAATAAGAAATAGTCAATCTGAGTTGTACTATATCATTTATAAGTGTGTTGATGCTCTTCTCTTTCTTAAATATAAGTAATTAGCAATTGAAAAATCATAACTAAAAAAATCCACATTATGGTCTTCTGCCACATTCATCGTCGTTCCAACCATGCCCCATGAATGCTTTTTAAATCATCTACATCTTCTACCTACAATGTCCATTTAAATCTCCTCCAATAAAAACTTTTTTCAAGATGTATCTTTTGTATTAATTTTTCTAAGTCATCCAAAATTAATTAGAACTCATATACCAAACCTACTTGAGGAGCATAGCCATAAAATATTAACAATATCTTATCACTCAACAACATTTTTAAAGCTTATATCATATCTCCAATCCTATTAATTTTTATAACATATACCTAAACTCTTATCTATATTAACACCTACTCCATTCTAGTACGACTCCTACCTGAATACCAAAGTATAAATCCATAAACTCATCAATTTCCTCTACCTTCTCTCCCAACCCATTTAATTTCATGAATGCACAAAATATTTAACTTCATATGAATCATAATATCTATTAATTCCATTAATTTTCATGTAAGGGAAACTATATTCCAAGTTCCTATCCTAATTTTAGTTTCATGAACTAGCTTCTTTGCCCACATCCGTCCTTGATGTGAGAACCCTTGCCTATTTAATATTGCACCCGGGCGCCGGTGCCGGCCCTTGCACACTTGTCACTATATTCAGGTCATACAGCGCGTCACTTTCAGGGGACGCCCTAGCATTAACACAATTTCTTAAAGGATTCATGTCATTAAAGACTTAAATTAAAAAAATGGCACATTCCGGTAAGGAACTGCACACAACAACCTCATGTGAATGTCACAAAAATAAAATCAGTCAAAAAATAAGACTTGTCAGGGAAAGCTCACATCCTTGTGTTCTTCAAGGAACTTGTCAAGGTAGTTGATCACAGCTATCTGCTCAGTGTAACTGCAGATGCGGAAGTAAAGGATGTTAGCTAAGAAATGGTCAGGCTGCATTTTTTCTTGGCAATCTTCAATCTCCTTTCGAGAAAAACCTAAATTTTCCCAAGTATCCATTATGCAGGCTTCAGCAATTTGATAAGCACGTTCAGGCATAAAACTTCCTTCAGTGTCTAGAAACATTTAGCTAAAAGATTATTACAAGTTTGAAAAATGGAAGTTGTGAATAATGTGAATGGATGACATTAGAAGATAGAAATATCTACCTATGTAGATTGCTTTAGCACCTAGACCGCCATAAGAAACTGGAATTTGGACATTTACTGCAAGCTGAATCCTGCATGTTGCTTTATTTATTAAATTGTTGATGAAAGACCACAGCAAAAGTAAATATTAAATAACGGCGTACCCTAATTGTGTTTTACCAATACCTGGAACACCACCTGGAAAAATGAATGTTAAAAACATGTAATAAAGACCTCGTATGGCATTTAAGCTTCGTTTGGGACGGCTTTCTAATTGCTTCTTAAAGAAGCCTTCTCGTAAAAAAATTTAATTTTTTAACTAAAAAGTTGCTCTAAGAAGCAACAAGAAAGCTGCCCAAAACGAAGACTTAATCATTTAAGATAAAGCATGCATTCCCCATACTAAAACAAATGCAGGGCATCTAATCAACTTTGTATAAGAAAATGATTATCTACTATTAAAATAAAGCAGCCACGTTTTTAATTTTACAAAAAAAAAAAAGCATGGATGGTAGAAGATCGTGTTTCTAAATTATATCTTTCTAGTAAAAGTTAAATAACTGCTTCATCTGCCAAAGGCTCTTATTTCACAAGGCCATTGCTTAATTAGGTTTGACCCACATGTAGTTTTACATGTCAGAAACAAAAGTGCGTACCCATTTCGGTAACCTGCCCGCAATGTATGCCACCACCAAGGATGCCATCAAAATCTTCACTGCCAGTTCTAATAAGCTTGAGGTTTTGTTCATCCGAAAGCATTTCCCATGCAGTCCGGGATCCTACAGAAATATGAAAGCTTTTATCTATAATATCAAAAACCTCAAAATTATGTTACATGGCCCTCTCAAAATTTAAGTTTTTTTTAAGTGAAATTATGCATATTACCATGGTCCTCTTCATAATTTAAGTTATGTAAAGGATAAACAAGTGTCTTCGACACATAAATATTGGTGAAAAAAAGTTGCAAAAGCATTATTGTTTTGCATCAGTAAAGAACTTTGTTCAGAGAAAAATCATATGCAATGCTCTACAACCATCAGTCTGAAACTCATACCTGGCCACTCTTTGTTGGTTCCCTGCATTTTTATGAATGCAGACATTCTCCTCCATGCTCCTCAACTTCACTTCCTCCTATATGTTGTCATTTGGACTGCATGGTCATTTTTTATTTTGGGTTACTTTAGATATTTTTATTTGAGTTTCATGTTTAGGAACCTAAATGTAAATTAGTTTCCCTTTGGATTATCATGTTATATTAGGCCAGGATCAATGCCAACTAAAAATTATTTAATATAATTTAAGTCATTTGACTCCTAATAAATAAAATAAAGAAAAACTGACGGAACTGTACCTCGCTAATTTTTCCCTTTTTCCATAGTATATCTTATCTTTTCATTAATATTATCCCCACATCAAGCCATCACCTACACCCATTAAGTTTTCCCAAAGCTATCCTGCATCAAAGTAAAAGTTCCCACATCATTGGCATTGATTTCCAATTTTCTGCCATCAATTTCAGATGTTAGATTATTTTCTAGATTAAGAAGTTCACGTCAACCACAGAAAACAAGAGGCCATCACATTCACCGCACTGGCCATCCAACTGATCCCCCTAACTCCAACATTCTTCCTACTTCCTTCCAAATAAAGGGTCAACAACTCTCAGAACAAACCCTCAAGATTCCCCACAATAAAAATGCATCCTCACCGCTTACTTCAAATTCAAGTCACCCACTTTCAACAGACACAAAATACCCCATCTTCGAATTACTACTCTGTAATGCTTACTTTAGTCATAGTTTCTGAAGCTGATCTTGCATATCATAAATGTTCACCTCTTTAGCATTTTCAATCTTATGTCTATGAAATGGACGCCCCAATTTTTTAATAAAATGAATAAATCAAACACTTAAATTTTAATTTTAAAATTTTAAGGCCCAACTAGAATAAATTGAAATATTTTTTAGTTTCTCAAAATCTACTGCTCCCTACTTTTCAACTTTTAGCCTCCGGAAAGAATTGTTCTGCTTTGAGCCAATCCTATTTGAGATACCAAAATATTATCCTTATATAAAACATTACAATCCTAAAAATATTTGTCACTACTTTAATCTAGAGTATTTTCAAAAAAAATAACTCTTTTGAGATGTAAATAACTATAAGTGTTTTCCTTTATGGGGAATCTATGCCCAAAATAAAATAAACTCTATCTCATTCACCTAAGATATGAGAAAATCTCTAAAAACATAGATATTTTCACCAAATTCATATTTTTATTTTCTAAGCCATTAAAAAATATCATTTATATTTTTTGAGATGATGATTTATTTTCCATATACCCCTTGTAGATAATTGATTTATGATGTCAATGAGTATTAAGACAACTTCCATCCAATCTTGCTTTTGAGCATTTTTTTGAGAAAAGAGAGCTCTTCTGATAACAAGTAGATGATCATTCATTGGTTCAGTCACCATAATTTGTTGAAGTGTATAAAAAAAGGACTCCAATATTATTTCTTTTTGCTCTCAAAATTTGGGCAAAATCATATTTTGTACTTTGTTGAAGTGTACAAAATCTCAAATGATCTTAGCTTACCTGCTCCCACAATAATTGTTGCTCATTACTCCAGTTTTGCTCTCAAAATTTGGAACCAATATGTTTTCCTCAGGATCCTAAGTCATACTAGCCCTATAGGCTTGGTTTCTACATCTTCTGTAAACAAGAAAATAGTTGTTGAATCTCCAATTGTGACTATTTCCCATCTCCCTCCCATTCGTGAAGATAGAGATGATCATGATGATCTAAAACCTAATAATTATGATGGGATTAGCATAAGTGATGCTGTTCTAGTTGATCGAACGTTTTAAATTATATTTATTAGACATTAACATAATTAGAATAAAATATATCTACATTCTCCAACTTTCACCAGGCTTCAAGCAAAGCGGTCTATTGAGCTCTATTATCCTCTATCATTTTACCGTAAAAGTGGATGTTTCTTGCTTCTACTTCATGCTTAATATATTTATTCTTTTATTATTTTATTTTGTACATTGGCACTTCTAATTTAGTTCTTCTGCTGCAATCACATCATTTTTTTTATAATATTGCTTTAAAACAATGCAAAAAAAATAGGAAAAAGATATGCATCATGTTTTTGTCAAAGAGATGACTCATACAGGTTTACGGACAAGATGGAGTTAGGTGAGCACATGTTAGGCTGGCCCCAGCTAAACCGGTCCCTCCTAGATTGGTTCATTACTACAGGAGTGCCCGGGGAGGGGGCGGAACATGTGTGGGTCCCAATCATTGATTGGGCAAGGGGTTTTAGAGGGAAATTTCAAACTTGGGGGATGTTTAGGGATTAATTAATTATATTTTGCTTTAAGTAATTTCCTTTTGGCTAGGATTAGGGATATCTTGAATTTTGTAATCTGAATTTGAGATCCATGGTTTGTTTTGGGCTCTAGGCTTTGCTAGAGATTTGGAGAGTTGAATCTTCCTCTCGAATTGAAGATTATTGTATCTTTTGTTGTTTTTCTTGTCCTTTTACTGAATTGGAGACTCTTGCTTGTTGTTTTCTCTAGTAAATAGGAATTTCCTGCACCAAACTTGATGCATCTGAAATTTAGCAATTTCCTGCACTAAGGTGGCAGTTTTCTAACAGGACACTTTAAGGTAAATGATGTATCTTTATGATATTAAAAGTTGAGAAGAATAGAAAGAAGTACACCATGTGCAATTGAACTATGTATCTAATCTATTGCCCAAAATAATAATACAAATGGTTTTAGAAAATAATAAAGTAATTGATGTCTGCTTCATACAAACTACAATGATGCATTGCTACGCTAAGACATCCCAACAGAACTTGTAGGATAGAAGAAGGTTCAAAAGCGGGTAAAGAGGAGTATACCTTTCAAAACTGCATGCGTGCCTTCCAACCCTACAGCTCTACAACATTTCAGAGTGACTTTAATGATTTCCACAGCTTCCCGATGCGGAATAATTAGTTCTGTAGATGACTAAGGATGTTAATATTGCAAAAAAAGGCTGATATATAATTAAGATTATTCCCCCAGTTAAATAAAACATAAAATAAAAACAAGATCAGAACCCCACTGCTCATGCAAATATTGAAATTACACCGAATTGAAAAAATAAAATTAAATTGGCCATTAATTCTTGAAGCATGCAGCAGTAATTTCCTCGATTTTACTGAATAAAGAGAGATAAAAGATTTACTATTTCATGAAGTTGCCAAATCAAGTCCCTGACTTAGCTTTTCTTCCATATTTTTATTATTCAAACCCATATTGCAGGATGCGCCTACGCTCGAATTGTAGGGAAAAAATGGTGAGAGCAAAGAAAAATATGCAAAAGACTCAGCAAGTAAATACAAAATTTATGTAACTCGGTGAAACTAAGTAGTCTATGTCTGCAGCCCCCACCAAGAATTTTTTCACTAAAGTTGAGAATGGTGCATCATTAATTTTTTCTTCTACGAAGCTCTTTAAATATTGGGAGAAAGGTAACGAAGGACTTAACCTCAAAATAAGAGACATGATAAAGTAGATGTCAAGTTGTATTCTCTTTTCACCACAATAAATAAGATATTTTCTAGAGCTGCCATGCTTGCCTCTAACAATTAGGCCCTTTTTCTAGCTTTAACGCCCTATTATAGAACCAATTAGCACCACCGAAATTGCATATGACACTACAGCCGCAAACAAAAGAAAGCATATCATTTCTCTCTCTCTCTGATATTTTCTTCCTTCTGTCATTTATTTTATTTAGCCAGAAAAAAATCTCCAACTATTATTTTTATACTCTCTCACACTATTTCTTTCTTCTTCACTCTCCTCACTCTCTTTCTTTCTCTCCCCTCTGCTTTTTCTCTGTTCACACAACAATGAGCCTTTAATTTTCTTCATAGGTACAACTTTTTGAAGCCCACACACAAACTCACTCTCTTTCAAGTTAAGGCAGTCAATTTGAATTTAAAAAGAACAAGATATTGATCTGAAGTTAATCCATAATAACTGAATTTGCAACAACTTCTAAACCTGTTCCTATTCATCATGAGGTAGAGCATGAAGGCTTTGTTTGTATTCAGAAGCAAAGAAAGCTTTTTGCAATTGGGATAGTGATTGAGAAAACTAGTCAACTAATCGACTCTTGCAGGTCTAAGAAGAAATTGAGGCTTCTCATATGAAAATATAAGGTCAACCAATATGCAGAGATTTGTTAACAAGTCGAAGAAAAATAAGAAATGAAAGTAAATGGGTTCACAGATAATATAAATCAATAATCATGAATGTTTCATAGAATTTTTATCCATTGTGAAGCTTCACAAGGATGAAAAAGAGAGTATGTCCAATGTCCATCATCGGGCTTTCGAGGGATTGCTATTGTGGTGCCTAGATGAAAAGGAAACCAAAGATACTCAAACCCAAACCTACTCTAGTGAATCCAATGGACACCCGCAAGAGTTGCCTTCATTGTTTTAGAAGCCCTTTGCCAAAACATCTGCTTTCACAATAGATAACAACATTATTTTTATACTTATCCAAGAAAACATATGTGCCTAACTGATGTGTTTACAACCCCAGACACAATACATGTGGCAAACATAACTAGGTTGTCAAAAAACTCATTGTTCGTGTTTGATTGTATTTGACTTAATTAGCTCGAGTTTGACTAATTTTTATAAACTTAAATTTTGAATGAGCCAAACGAGCAAGACATTGTTTGACTGCATTCGGCTCGATAGTAGCTTGATTATATATATATATATATATGAATGTACATGTATATTATGTATGTGCATGTATTTGTATAAATGTTTATGCTTCTATATTTGTATGATATCTGAATATATACGTTACAGCATATTAGTTATATAATTTAAATTTACATATGTACACAGCTCGCATTTGGCTTTGCAAGTTAACAAGTCAAAAACAAACAAAAGATTTTGACTTCTTTGCCTAACAAACTAAGCCAAACAACACTTGAGCTCGCTCAAGCTCAACTCATTTACTCCCGTAAATATTTAGAGCATCAACTCCTCTTATAGAAAGTCCAATAGCCTATCTTTTAACATCAATGCAAAATTAACTTCCTCCATTTTTTAAACATCTACTTCCGCATTAACCATATGCAGTATGGCCAATAAACAGAGAAAATTCAATCACTCACAATGCTTTTCCTTTTTTTCCTACGTTTACTTCATGGATATGCCTCATACATTTCTTTCCCAACAATTCTCAACATTTGACGTTTGGAACTAGCTTAAATAATAATAATTATAATAATGAGAAAACATATAACATAAACATTGAGCTTGAGACAAAACCATTCCAATCAAATTTTATTTTTCACCTTATAATAAAATATATAAACTAGTAGACAATGTTCTCTCCTAACTTAACAGCTAAATATGTTTACTTCATGTAATCACTGAAAATTGTATTGGAGCTTGAAAAACTAATTGGTTCCCAATATTGAAGCTTGGCAATCTTCATGGTTTTATAATTCCAACGCTCAACATTCAGTAAGGTGTTCAAGGTGTCTCAAAAGGCCAATGAATAATTCATGTAACTGAGGTTGAACATATGAGCAAGTTTCATGAAAAAAAAAAAGAGAGAAAGGTATTAAAATATTATGAGTTCGTTTAGAATAGTTGTTTTTCCCACAGCAAAATCTTTGTTTTTCCCACAGCAGAACTATAGTTAGTTTTGCAGCTCTGCCCCAAACAAACCCTCTAGTCCTGACCTAAGCCCTAAACTCTAAATCATAAACCCTAAAACTAAAAACACTCTAAACTCTAATCCTGACCTAGTTGCTTTGGTACACGTAAGGCAAACATTCATTGACAAGACAAAGCAAATCAGATTCAGAAACCTTCCATCTAGCAAATTACAGCTCTGAATAAAACATTTTCAGAGAACAAAAGCTTACCAAACCTCGTGTTCATTACAAGCAACCAAAATTTTAGGCCTCAACAGGCAGGAAGCTCCAATCAACTTGGTAAACGTTCATGTTTTTTAAGGATTAAAGAGGATAGTTCTCATTATTACTCTAGTCAAGTATCAAACGATTTCTTAAGAACATCGACATCCCTGCCCGTCATTTCCTTTTACTCTAGGCCTCAGGTCAGTGGACTATACACTTGATTTTAGGCAAGCCTTCCTCCAAAGGTTGAAACAAAGTTACATATCTCCATCGATCAGGCGGGAATAAAGAGTTACAACATGCAGAATACACAAGAAAAATCATTCAAATGTCATATTCAACGGCCAATAAAGTAGAGTGACTGTGCCTTGGGCCAGGCGGGAGGCGGAGACTCCGACGATAGACAAGAGGGTTGTGTAACCAGCGGAGATAAGTTTCTCTTTGTGAGCAGAAGCGATGGGGAGAACAGAAACCTCCATGGGAACGGAATATGATCTCCCAACTCCCGACTGCCTTCTTCAACGCTTCCCCAAAGTCCCCACTGCCTTCTTCAACGCTTCCCCAAGTCCCGACTGCCTTCGAAAACGCGCAGTGCATTCACTAACCGGAATTTTTAAGGAGCGTAACTCTAAAAAAACGTTACAAATTGCGCTTTCTATTAAGGATAAACTGAGATGGTTGTCCTTAGAATTTTGACAGCGTTAGAAATCTGAAAGACGAAAATGGGGAAAAATCAGTGGACAAATCTGGTTAGAGTGAGGACAATGGTGGCTAGGGCTTGGGTAGGAAGGCAGCCCCCGAAAATACAGGCGGTGATTGGAACTCTCGTTGCCACCGCTGTACTGATTCTCCTTTGGATCTGCGTCAACGATCCTGGGCTTATCTTCTTCGCAGCCGAGCTTTCTCATGCCACAGGCATCTCGCTTCTCATCTATAAGCTCATTAAGTGCCGCACTTGTGCCGGTGAGAACTTGCACTGTTTATATGTTGATTGATCTGAAACAAATTGCAATGAGAAGATGAATTTCGTTATTTATCATTTTTCTTAGGCAATTCAATTGTTCTCAAAAAGATAGCAAAAAGGAGAAAATTTTCTTATTTGATTTTTATTCCTAATAGAGATAAATCATTTGCATTTTATCATTATTTCCTTATTCTTTAAATAATGTTCTAGACATGTATATAGATACACTAACAACTCTATAAATTGATTTGCAGAAATTTTGATATCATTGTAGTTCGGCATTCTATAAAAAGGTGTCTGATTTAAATTTTAATTAATTTAAGGAATGTTTTAAGAAAAAAAGTTAAAATAGAGTAGATACGAAACTTAATTATCCTGTTTGAAAAGAATTTTGAATTTCGTTGTCTGATTTCTTCTTTGAATAAGATTTGAAAAGAAATCGGGACATGAAATTATCATTTCTTAAGAAATCTAAATTTCTTAAGAAACTGAAAAATTTCTTAAGAAACTGAATTTATATTTATAAACTGTTATAACTTTATGTAAAAAAAAAAATTTAAACTTCATATAAAGTTATAAATTGTTATAATTTTATAAAAAAAACTTTTTAAACTTCATATAAAATTATTTAATAATAATTTAATAATTTATTATTAAATAATAATAATAATTTAATAACCAGTTTTTTTCGGTTTCTAATGAGCAGAATTTAATATTATAGTTTTTAATTATTAAATATTTAAGAAAAATTTTAATATAAAGTCTTAGAAACATTTTTAATATAAAATTTAATATAGATTATTATTTTTTTCTTAAATAATTAATAATATAAAAAATAATAATTAATAAATTGGCATTTTATTAAAACAAGTAATAAATTGACATTTTATAAAAAGTTATTAAATGTTTTTTAATTTAATATAAAGTTTAATTTATATTAAAGTAGAAACAGGATTAAGTAAAATCGATTAAAGTAAACCGGACAATGAATCACAGCCAAAGTAAAAACCGGACAATAAAATACAGGTTTTACTAAAACCAAATAATTAAATTCGGTATTTGCTCCTTTTTTTATTTTTTTTCTCAAAGTGCTCCTTAAACTAATTAAAACTTAACTACGCTCTTTTTTATAAAATGCCCCATCGTAATTATGAAAGGACCTTACTTTTTTTGTTTAACATTAATAGAAGTCACATAAGAAATTCCTCCAAGATTAAGTTCTCTCTATATTAATATGCATATACATAGCTTATCAAAAAGTATTTCAAATTCAAAAGTATTAATAATCTATGCTAATCAAATTAAACTTCTTGATAATATATTATTTGTAGGTAATCCATATAATAATTAATAAATCTTAATTACAAATTAAAAATTGCAACACATTATATGGATTAATAATGTAACATACTGCAAATCAAAATAAATGAAAAATAAAAGACTAATATCTATCTAACTCAGAAGTTATAATTCCTATTATTTTGTGTAAATAATATTTATTTTAGATTCCTAGGTTTAATTAATTTAGAATGTAAGAAAGATCTTCCAATTTTAAAGAAAATATTTTTTATCACACTAAAAAATAATTATGTTAAATTATTTTATTGTTAAATTAATTTATTGTTTTATAATTTGATGATATAAAGCATCTATAGCTTAAGAATTAAGAAGTATTTTGGTTTAAAAAAATTAATTTAGTTCATGATATGCTCATCCAAAAAAATTTCATACGAAGGAACATAAATTTTATAATAGCATATGTGATATACTCATTACATTATTTTTTTTTTCTCATGCGTCTCTTGCCTGTCAGGGCTGCATTGGAACCTAATTAAAATGTGAAATGCTTTAGATACAAAGTGTTGACGAGTTTCATGGCATGTCAGAGCCGTGTTCATGCCCAACACACATGTCTGACATAGGAGCTATTATTATGTGCGGATACCAGACGGTTCTCCTGACCGATTAAGCGTTGGTACTGAGCGGTATCGAGCGTGGGTACCAAGCTCGGAACCGAGCACGGTACATTTTTGAGGTGACGTGACACATTTTTATTGGTCTTCAGACGTCCTCCAGACTCCGCACAGAATAATGAATCCTGACATAGACACGGAAGACCTTTAGAAGTGTCTGTACTTCATAAGGGATAAATGATTAATGAGCTATTGAGGTTACTAATATTTCATAAATTGGATAGGAGAACATTATCAAGTACTTCCCTACTGACTTATCAAATGTATCTTACATGTTATGGTGGAGATTATGAAGTAGTTTCTATAATTTTCAAGGAAAGTAGTAATATTTTCAAGTGTGCCTTCTCTTTTTAATTACAAAAAAAAGAGGAATTTTGCATGTAAGACATGTTGGATGATGTTTTGGGCATCAAATTTAGCTAATTTTAATATAGGAGAATATTTTGTGAAAGAATTGCTGGAATTACTACCTTGTGTCTCCCTCCATGGCTTCATGCTTCATTTCATATGCTTAAAAATTGTAGTAATAAAGCATGCAGTATAACTTCATAGTGCTTATTAAGGTTTCATTTGAGACGGCTTTTTTATTGTTTCTTAAAGCGCAGTTTTAGCACAAAAATTAAAATTGTTATACTAAAACTATGTTTCAAGAAACAAAAAAAAAAAGTCATCCAAAAAGAAGCCTAAAATTTCATCTTTCATATTCAGAAGCAGGTGCATAACAAACGTTTTGTTGTTGTTCTTGTTATAATTAATAATGTTCTTGTATTGATGTTTCTCTCATGATCTATCACTAAAAATGAGAATAGTTATCTGTGTTATATATTGTGCCTCATTAGCAATGTCCTACATGGGGTTCTAGTTGGGTACTCACACCCACCCATGATGACTTTTGGGATGTCATAACCCACTCACTTTCCATGTTTTTTGAACGTAGTCCGCGACGGATTGATGGCCTTGAGGCTTGTTACCCTTTGCTTTGACTGGAAAATTTTAAGTCGCATATCAGAATTTATCGTAGTTGCAAGTTTAGTTGTGCGTGCTACGTAGTGAGGATTGCGATAACATATGTCATATAGTGATTATCAATGTAAATCATTTTATCCTCTAATGTTGAATATCCAACTATGAGGTCATGGGTGTATCTATAGATGAGTGTGGATATAGATACCCAATACAGGGCGCTCCGTTCGTTTAGGACATATTTTTCTTTGAAAATTCTTGTTCCTGCTCTAAAACTCATGCTTTGTGCTCATTTGTTTTTCTGATTACATTACAGGACTTTCTCTGAAATCTCAGGAGTTGACAGCTTTGTTTCTAGGAATCAAAATTTATTGTAGTTACACGACTTTCGACATACATGCAATACTTGACATGACCACATTGATAACAACTTTGTGGGTTGTCTATATGATACGTGTTATCTTGAAGTCTAGTTACATGGAGGATGAGGATAGCTTTTCAGTGCAATATCTGGTAACCTTCACATTCTACAATATGTTATATTTTTTCAAAATTTCAGCATTGTTGTACGTGTGTTTTTGGTGCACAATAAAATTTATACCAAATAGCTTCAGCTAAGGAATGCTTCCTTTTTGAGACACTCACTCATGTCCATATTTATGTATGTGAATAGTATATTCTTATATAATTCATGCAAATTGAATGCTCTTCTAAACTTATAGGACCATGCACACCATAATCACTTACAGAAGAATCTAATAGTTTAGTTCTATTGTATGCTATGAATAATCACTTACGATAAGCCAACGCCAAATTGACTTTTGATAGAAGATGCTTCTTTGAAGTAAATTGAACGGCTTATTATGATTATGATTGCATTTGCATAAACAACTTGATAAGAGATCTTATCATCTATTTTTAAATCTCTCCAAATCTCGCACACACTAAGGTTTCGTTTGGGATGGTTTTTACTGTTTCATAAAACATCTTTCTATTATAAAAATAGATTTTTTTGTACTACAACTGTTTTAAGAAGCAATAAGTAAATCGTCCCAAACGAAGCCTAAGAAACCAACAACCCTTTTAGATGTAACTTTTGATAAAAGATGTTTCTTATAAGTAAATTGTATGACTTTTTATTATTATGATTACTTTTGTATATATAAATTGACAAGAGATCTTATCATCTGTTTTTAAATTTCTCTCCAAACCTTGCACACGCTAAGCCCTTGTAGCGAAGGAATTATTCTGTGCGGGCGTCAAATGCAACTCTACATCCGGAGACCAACCAGAATGAGCCATGCCAGCAATACCGAGCAGTACCATGCAGTACCGAGCCGCGGCACTGACGTAGCTCATTCTGATTGGTCTCCGGACGGCATTCAACGTCCACTGTGAATAATCTCTCCTAGTAGCGATGGAATTATAGTTTTACAATGTTGGTCTCAAAGGAGGAAATTGATTCAGGTGGTAGCATGCGGTCTTATGGCACTTGTTGTCCATCCAGCCTCATCATCTGAAGCGCTGATTAATCGCCTCATCTTGGCTTTTGGCTGCAATTTAGAAACAGTTGCAATTATGCCACAACTTCGCTTGATGCAGAACGCCAAGGTCCATTACATTCCTTTTAACTTATTGATATGTCGGTTTAACCTATAAAATGCAATTTTTATCTATTTTCTTTTGCAGGTTGTTGAGTCATTGACAGCCCACTATGTTTTTGCCCTGGGGCTTGCTCGTTTTTTAAGCTGTGCACAGTGGATACTTCAGGTGATATACTCTTACGATTTCATTTTCGACTAGATTCTCCAGTGGTAGATAAGATTAGAGAGAGTCGTCTTAGATGATATGCTCACATAAAACGGCAGCCTTCTGATGACCCGGTTAGGAAAGTAGAGGTATTAGATTTGACTTAACCCGGTTAGGAAAGTGAAGGTATTAGATTTGACTTATGTTAAGAAATGTAGATGTAGACCTAAAAAGACGGGTTAGAAAATATTAGAAATGTTCATTCTTTATTAGATTTAGATGATAATTTGATTTTTAACTGGACAAAATGGAGAAAAAGGATTCATGTAGCTAACCCTAGGGGTGTCAATTTTTGACACGACCCGAAACACGACCCGGAAAAATCCGGGTTCGGGTTGAACAAATCAACCCGTTTTAAGAATCGGGTCGGGTTCGGGTTGACCCAGCAACCCGAAATTGACCCGAAAGTGACACGAAAACTCATATTTGACCCGAAAACCCGAGATTGACCCGATTTTGACACGAAATTTGAATATTGACAAGATTTTAACACGAAAATTAGCAATTTTAGGTCAACTTCGGGTCATTCGTGTCAGGTCGGGTTGGCCCAAACCCGAATCGGGTCGGGTTCGGGTCCGGAAACATGACCCGTTTTTTAAAACGGGTCGGGTTCGGGTTGACCCGAACAGTGCCGGGTCAGTTCCGGGTTCGACCCGAACCCGACCCGCTGTCCCAAATTGATACCCCTAGCCAACCCCACGTAATAGGACAAAGGCTTGTTGTTGTTTTATGATATTAATTTTTTACTGGCTGGCTACTATATCATTGGTTCAATGTAGTGATGTTATCTGTCATCCCATCCATATTTAATATAATGCATGCATATTCATGCGTTGTTTTGTTGTAAATAAAATGTTCAAAATGGTCCTTTTACTTTTTATGAAAGGCTAAGGCTTCGTTTGGGACGGGCTTTCTTATTGCTTCTTAAAATGATTTTTTATATAAAAATTAAAATTTTTGTAATAAAAATCTGTTTTAAAAAATAGTAAAAAAATCATCCCAAATAAAATCTAAAATTGACCTTTAATATAGTTGAGATTATTTTGATCCTTCATAAAAAATCAAGATACATTTTTAATCATTTTTCCTTTTATTATACTTATCCATGTTATTTCATTTTCATCCAAATTTTTGATAACTTAAGTACTTAACAGAAGTGGTACTCAACAATGAGTTTTAATGTTCTCAACAAGAAATTCCTTAGAATGCAGAGCTTTTGAAGCATTTTTCTTAAATATATTTGATCTTCCCCAATTGCAGAAAATAAAGGGAACTAATAAGTTATAAGATAATGGGATTCTAATATGTTAGCGCAATAATTTGTATGCTAATGAATGAGTAGATTGCAATCTCTAAAAATGCCTACTTTCTTATGTCTTTTACATCCTCTCTCTCTCTCTCTCTTACAAATTATTATCTTTTTGCTAGAGTTCCATTTTTTTTTGAACTTCTATAGTGTTCTTATGAATTAATTATTTTGTGCTGACGTCAAATGCCGTCAGGAGACCAACCAGAATGTGTCATCCCTTTCGCTCCATACTATGGCTCGGTGCTGCTCAATACCGCTGACGTGGTGCATTCTGATTGGTCTCCAAACGGCATTCTACGTCCGGCCTCAGCGCAAAATAATTTCTCGTTCTTATGTGCTCTAGTTTATATCCTTTTATCTTCATAAACTTGAAATGTCAAACAATCTATGCAATCTTACTAGCTAAAGAACCTAAATGCTTGAACTTGATGATTTTTTTGCCTTAACTAATAGTTCCCTCAACGAGCATTGTTATGTAAAGAATAATTGATTAATCTCTGAGTATTCTCATCTTTTGAGTGCTTGACTAGTTTTTCAATCAGAAAAAAGTGTTGCGGCTCGGAACCTTCCTCTAATTATTCTGTTATGCAGGTTGTCCACAGCCGTGGAAAAAATCTAAAATTGACCTTTAATATAGTTGAGATTATTTTGATCCTTCATAAAAAATCAAGATACATTTTTAATCATTTTTCCTTTTATTATACTTATCCATGTTATTTCATTTTCATCCAAATTTTTGATAACTTAAGTACTTAACAGAAGTGGTACTCAACAATGAGTTTTAATGTTCTCAACAAGAAATTCCTTAGAATGCAGAGCTTTTGAAGCATTTTTCTTAAATATATTTGATCTTCCCCAATTGCAGAAAATAAAGGGAACTAATAAGTTATAAGATAATGGGATTCTAATATGTTAGCGCAATAATTTGTATGCTAATGAATGAGTCGATTGCAATCTCTAAAAATGCCTACTTTCTTATGTCTTTTACATCCTCTCTCTCTCTCTCTTACAAATTATTATCTTTTTGCTAGAGTTCCATTTTTTTGAACTTCTATAGAGTGTTCTTATGAATTAATTATTTTGTGCTGACGTCAAATGTCGTCAGGAGACCAACCATAATGTGTCATCCCTTCGCTCCATACCTTGGCTCGGTGCTGCTCAATACCGCTGACGTGGTGCATTCTGATTGGTCTCCAAACGACATTCTACGTCCGGCCTCAGTGCAAAATAATTTCTCGTTCTTTATGTGCTCTAGTTTATATCCTTGTACCTTCATAAACTTGAAATGTCAAACAATCTATGCAATCTGACTAGCTAAAGAACCTAAATGCTTGAACTTGATGATTTTTTTGCCTTAACTAATAGTTCCCTCAACGAGCATTGTTATGTAAAGAATAATTGATTAATCTCTGAGTATTCTCATCTTTTGAGTGCTTGACTAGTTTTTCAATCAGAAAAAAGTGTTGCGGCTCGGAACCTTCCTCTAATTATTCTGTTATGCAGGTTGTCCACAGCCGTGGAACCATATTGCTTGCACTTGGATATGGACTCTGGCCTGGAATGGTCCTCCTTTTAGAGATTGTTCAGACTTCAATCTTGTTCGACTTCTGTTATTATTATATTAAAAGGTAAATCCTATGTTTGAGCTCTTAGACTTCGTTTGAGACGGCTTTCTTACTGTTTCTTAAAGCACCTTTTAGTATAAAAATTAAAAAAACTTCTACTAAAAAACTGCTTTAAAAACGAAGCCTCAATATCAACAACATATATCTTATTAAGGCTTCGTTTGGGACGTGCTTTCTTATTGCTTCTTAAAGCAGCTTTATAGTACAAAACTAAAAAATTACTTTAAGAAGCAATAATTTTTATACTAGAAAATTGCTTTAAAAAATAGTAAGAAAACCGTCTCAAACGAAACCTAAATTATTTATAAGGTAGTTGATGTTATTCTTGTTATTCCTGTTCATCATCATTTTGTTAAAACAAACTAATGAAAATTTCTGTGACGATTTCTCCAACAGTGTTATCGAAGGTCACTCTGTGCTGAGACTTCCTTCAGATACAGTTTGATTAAAAAGTGAAGATCTTCGCTTTGGAAAAAAATGCGGAAGTAGCAATCTATTTTCACACATATAAATATAATGCTATACTATATAACTTTATATTCCGTCTACTTCTAAATGTACTTGCATGTTATTGTTGCTGGTTCAGTAAATTTCACCTTTTTTTTTTTTTAAGGAACTCTGAAGAAGTTTTTTTTTTTTTTTTTTTTTTTTTTTTTTTTTTACTTTGAGTTTAGAATTTGCTGAATTCGAAATAAAGAATGACTCATTTTCTGCTATGAACTAGCTTTATGTTGATGTTTTTTTTATGTTTCTTTAAAAGAAATAGAACAAATTTTTAAATTAATGTATGTTTTAAAAAAATACAAAATAATTTAAACTTTAAAAACCAAATATAATTCTAAAAATAATGAAAAGAACTATAAATTTAATAAAAAAATGAATTCAATCAAAATGAAAAATGTCGATGGTAGATGTAATAACATGGAGTGAATAGATTGAAAAATGTAGATGGTTCCTTAATGTGTGACATAGCATGCAATAATATGAAATGCATTAAATTCTATTTAGACGTGCAATAGGTCACCATGCTTTATAATCAAGTGGCTAGCAAGGCACACCTTAGATGAAAGCCAGACAGTAATAAATGACCTTTACTAATTCTGCTAAGTATGGAATCAGCTAATTATTTTGCTGGGCAGAGCTTTTGAAGATAGATGTGAGTGATGGATGCATGCGGGCTCTTTTCAAAGAACGGGCTTCACTTTTACCGTGCAAATATTCTTCACCCAATGGCCATCTTGGCCGAATATCATACTGCAACATTTGAAGAACATCCACATAGATTTGTTAGAAATCATATTTTGAAAAACAAAAAAAGTTGATTAAGGCTTTGTTTGGACGGCTTTCTTTCTGCTACTTAAAGCAACTTCCTAATAATTTGACACTGAAATTGATTTCAAAAACTCAACAAAGCTTCACAATATCACCTCAAAAATGATTATTTCATTATCACATTTAGGCTTTATTTGGGACGGCTTTTTTACTGCTTCTTAAAGTAACTTTCTAATACAAAAATTTTAATTTTTTAATTAAAAATTGTTTTAAGAAACAGGAAGAAAGTCGTCTCAAAAGAAACCTTAATGAGTGAAAATCAAATTATTATTTTCTAAAACATGTTTTTGATTTACAGTCAACCAAATGAGCCATTAGTTCAAGAAATTATTAGGTGCGGGTACCGGACAGAGAGAATCATCCGGATTTCTCTGTCTATAGTAAAAGCGGAGCCAAAATACAATTACTGTAGCAGCTGTGCTTTGACTGTATAAAGAGAAAAATCCGGATGATTCTCTCTATCCGGTGTCCACTCCTAATAATTTGCCCATTAGTTCAGCAAAGAATTCATGAACTGGTTACACATTTCAATCACAGTTTTTGAAACCATTACTGACAACGCAGATGGTCGGTTGAATAACTTTCATCCTCTCCTATCCTCTAAAATTTCTGAATGAATATAAATCCCATTCACGATAATAATTATACACAAATTTATGCATTAAACAACCTAAAATACTGCTAGCATTTCAATGTTAGGCTCAATGAATAAATAAACATCACCGGAAATAAACAATCTGTAATTTTCACTTGCAGGTTCAGTGAAAATCCCTCCTATCTACATTTTTTTTTGGGAAATTTACATACATACCACTTTATTTTATACTATTTACAAATCTAACACCCAAAACATTAATACTACTTACCTACCACTCATATACAACTTTAATATCAAATATACCACTCCTATAATTCATTTCTAACATTCATACCATCCTATAAACTTTAATATTTCATTCCATGCACCCATATTTGTTCTATGGGTGGTAGTCATGTAATATTAATGTTTTGGGTGTTAGATATGTAAATAACATGAAATAAAGTGGTATGTATGTAAAACCCCTTTTTTTTTTCACCTTACTTTGGCACATATATTTTAAGACAACTTCCATTTGATTTTGAGATTAAAAAATATATAGAGAGAAGTAAAAATTAGCGAGAGAGGCTCAAAGCTAGCAGAACTAGCAGAGAGATTATTAAGTGCGATGTCCAGATCGTCCGGAGGCAAATCCGGACGCGCCGCATTACCCAGATGCTACCTGGATGCACCGGGCTCCGGGTGACGTGGCGTGTCCGAATTCGCCTCCAAACGAATCCGGACGCCGCGCGTAATAATTTTCCGAACAAGCAAAGGACACTAACTATCGGTGAGCTTAGCGCTCACTGACAACAAGAAAAGCTCACCATGAACATAGATCATATGTAATTCACAATAATTAGAAATAACGATGGAAATAAATGATGCCTACCATGCGAAATTAATCTGAGCTGAAAGAAACAGGCTAATAGGGCAAAGCAAATCAAATTAACAAGATATGAAGAATAATCATCGTTAAATGAGATGAAAAATGCAGCGTATACCACATAATCTTCTGGCTCCCTCGCAGGTGGTGGCTGGTCAAATCTCCCTAGAAGGAAGTGCTCGATTCCAGTCCAAGCAACCATTACGCCTATAACGATTAAGGAAACTTATTAATAGGTAAATTGTAACATAACATGCATATAGTCTAGCCACAAAAGAATTCCAATATTAAAAAAAAAAAAGGTTCGTTATTTTATAAGGAGCATATGTACCAATTGGCAAACATGCTTTTAAAACAAGCATGATCACAGTGAAGGAAAACCAATTCAATGAAGTGGCAACACCAGAACCTGAACTCATCAAATGTCATTTGGAGAGATTCATTGAAGTGGTTCACAAAAATTGTTCCTCAACAATCATCATAAGCAAAGGGCTAAGCAATGTAGATACCGCTTTTTAAATATTCCAACATTTAGGTATCGTTTGAGATAATTTTCTTATTGTTTTTTAAAGTAGTTTTTAGTATAAAAATTATTTGAAAATAATGAAAAAGTAGTGGTCAAAAACTGTCCCAAATGAAGCTTTACTCTTTTTAAGACTTATATAGTAGATAGTAAAATCAGTTCGCCTAAATATTTAATGAACCACTCCAAATCACACCAGTTTTGAACTTGCAGCCGTTTATCTTTAAATCAACCATCTGCACCACTTCTACCCCTATAGTTGCACATAAATTTTAGTAATTGCTTTGGTTTTAACATAGTTTACAAGTAGCTTAAACCTAAGCACACAATGCATGGAATCAACAATGAAAAAATAACAAGTTCCTCTAGTCAAGATATTTTCTTTTATCTTGGAAATGCAACAAAAAATGAACATGCATAGCTGAAGTTTTGCTTTAAAGGGCAAAAGCAGTAAATGATAAAAAGGAAAATGAAAATACATTCCTAAGCCACATGAAAAACTGGAAAATTTGTCATCTTCCAAGATTCAAGCTACCCCATCACAGCCCAAAGTGCCGCAAAAATACTAAAAGAGCATTATACGATTACCCACCAAATCCGATAATTAAATTTGGCATTCATTAAAAGAAGAAAATAATGTAAGATGAAGCAGAAATGTGTATAGGGGTATTGCGGGTAAAGTTGTTGGAATATATCTTAGGATGGCATTGGAAGTTTTGAAATGGATGTATTCCGGCAATGAATTCTCAAAGTAAGATTCAAAGGTGACCCCCAACTTGCTTCTCTTGCAAGTGTAATGATTTGGGGAGCAGGTGTTCTGCTAGGTTAACAAGAGACTGTGTCCAACAGATGTGGCAGTGATGGATTCAGTGCATTGATCTATATCAAGAGGGCAACAAAACTGAACATGGGGCCCTGACCATGGACTCTAAAGGTGAGATATTTAGTCCCAGAGACAGACGGCTACAGCACTGTGAGATATCACCATTACTGATAGATTGAAAGCTATGCTTACTGGACAGAAGTTGTTTTTTTGGCAATCTTCAGCTTCGCCATACATACATAAAGAGGGCCACAAATACAACGATCTAGATCAAGTTGTTACAATAGCAAGCAAAAAAATGCATGACTTTTCAAATTTTACCTAAGAATAAGGCACACAGTGACAGTGACTCCGCCGGAGGACTAGCAGCTCTTCGAATGAACTGGCTTGCACGTCGGAGACGAATCGAGCACCTGGGCAACAGCTAAGCACTTCAAGAAACAGAGAACTACCACCACCTGAACATAAAGTTCAGGATACAACAAACACACGCACCCCGCTCACTTACAAGGAAAAGAAAAAAATTGATTAACCTCTCTGCCTTCTTTATTCCCTTTGCATCTATTTATACACGCCAGCAATGTGTTTGGCTACAACAAAATAAGACCAAACAGTCTGAAGCAGAAAAGGCTACACAAACAAATAACAAATAAGAAACTGCTACATAAATAAGAGAAACAAAAATAAACTAGCTAAGGACGCTCCGGCGTCATTCTCCCGGGGTAGGAAGGACATTATCGTCATAGAAAAGGGTAAGGTCAGCCACATTGAAAGTTGCAGAAGTTTGATAATCTCCTGGAAGATCGATTTGATATGCATTATCATTGTTCTTCTTTTTAATTCGAAAGGGACCGTCCACTCGTGGTTTTAACTTTCCAAATGCTCCTGGAGGAAATCTCTCCTTGCGTAGCCATATCCATACAAGATCTCCTTCTTTGAATACAACCTTCTTTCTTGTCTTGTTGGCCTTGGTCTGGTATTTAAGATTATGCTTGGTAATTGTTTCTTTAACTTGTCGATGCAATTTCTGAATTTATTCCCCGCGTTTGGACCCATCCGAATTGAAGGCGGTTGGCTGAGCTATCAAAATTAAGTCAATAGGCGTAATGGGATTACAGCCGTAAGCAACCTCAAACCGACTACGGTTTGTAGCTTGATTTGGTGAGCGATTAAAAGCAAACTCAATTTGTGGTAACACTAAGTCCCATTGACGGATGTTTCTACCAACGAAACAACGCAATAGGTTCCCTAGACTGCGATTTACTGTTTCGGTTTGTCTGTCGGTCTGCAGGTGGGCGGCTGAGCTGAAGTGTAGACGCGTTCCCAACTTGCTCCAGAGTGTCTTCCAAAAGTGACTTAAAATTTTACATCTCGGTCCAATGTAATCATCCTAGGAAAACCATGTAAACGGACTATTTCCCGAAAGTACATATCAGCAATACGAGTAGCGTCTAGTGTTTTTGTGCAATGGACGATATGTGCCATTTTTTAAAACTGATTGACCACTACCATGATAGAATCTTTGTTTCTTTGTGTTCTTGGTAATCCCAGAACGAAATCAATACTAATGTCGAGCCATGGAGCTTCGGGCACTGGTAAAGGCATGTATAATCCGGCGTTAGTGCCCTGTGTTTTGGCAATCCGGCAAATGCGGCAGCTGCACAAGTATCGTTCTACATCCCTTTTAAGAGTCGGCCAGAAGAAATTTTCAGATAGCAGGGCGAGCGTTTTACCCCTGCCAAAATGGCTTGCATGTCCGCTAGTATGACATTCGGCAATGAGTGCCAATCGGAGGGAGTTTTGAGGTATACAAAAATGGTTTCCTCAGAACAAGTAGCCTTCCTTTATATGAAATAAGTGATGAGGTCCCGTTTGGTAACATGTCCATATATTTTGAAAATCTGTATCATTTTTATATATTTCTTTTAGGACCTCAAATCCAATAATCTTTGATTACAAGACCTGTAATAGCAATTGACGCCGACTAAGAACGTCTGCTATTGTGTTATGTTGTTCGGCCTTGTATTCAAGGACATAGTGGTAAGCAACAAGTGATTGGACCCAAGATGCGTGCTGGCTTTTTAACTTTTTTTGGTTATGGAGGTACCTTAATGCCTCATGATCCGAGAATAGGAAAAATTCGCTCGGTAAAAGGTAGTGGCTCCAATGGTGTAAAGCTCGTACGATGACATAGAACTCCTTGTTGTATGTTGAGTATTTTTGTCTCGAGTCATTCAATTTTTTGCTGAAGAAATCGATGGGATGTCCGCCTTGGCTTAGGACAACCCTGATACCCACATTGGAAGCATCGCACTTGACTTCGAAGACTTGATGGAAATTCGGTAGCGCCAGCACAGAAGCTGGTGCAATCATGCGTTTCAATAATTCAAAGCTGGACTGGGCCGCACCATTCTAGGAAAAATGTTCGGCTCGAAGGGCTTCGGTGATGGGAGCAACGATAGTGCTGAAATTACGTATGAATCGTCTATAAAAAAAGGCAAGTCCATGAAACCTTAGGACGTCTGTAAAAGATAGAGGAACTGACCAATTGACAATTGCTTCGACTTTACTTGGGTCGGCTTCAATCCCCGTATCTGATATAATATAGCCCAAGAAAGAAATTCATGAGACAAAAAATTGACATTTTGGCAAGTTTATGAATAGCTTTTGATCTCTGAATACAGTAAAAATTTGGTGGAGATGTTGTAAATGTTTGTCTTGATGGCAGCTATATATGAGGATGTCGTCGAAGTATGCAACAACAAATTAGCATAAAAAGGGCTGGAAAATATGGCTCGTAAGCCTCATGAAGGTGCTAGGGGCATTAGACAATCCGAACGGCATTACCGTCCACTCGTAAAGGCCATCACATGTTTTGAATGCAGTTTTTCATTCATCTCCGGAGCGCATACGGATTTGGTGGTAACCACTCCTTAAGTGGATTTTTGAAAAAATCTTAGCTCCGTGAAGTTGATCGAAAATATCATCGAGGCGAGGAATTGGGAACCGATATTTGATTGTAATTTTATTAAAAGCTCGACTGTCAATACACATTCGGTAGGTCCCATCTTTCTTTGGCACGAGGACTGCAGGCATAGCGCATGGGCTAACACTAGGTCGTACGAAACCTTTGGCCATAAGTCCCTCTATCTGGCGTTTTAATTCTTCATGTTCGTCGAGCCGAAGACAGTAGTGCGGCTTGGCCCCTACATGATCAAAGTAAATGTTGATCTTCGGGCCTAGCTAATTCATGATTATGGCTCTCTATGCATTTTTTGACCTTTGATACTCCATCGTAGTCAGCTGAAAATCTAACCATCACGGGACACCCGGTCCTAGCATTGGATTTCCTGTATTTTGATTTAGTGTTCAAGTCAATGCCCTTCTTAAATCCAGCTTTCGAACATACAAAATCCTTGAGCCTTAGCTTTCTCGAATTAGGCCAATAACAGTGATGATCTTTGCGATCACTAAAACCAATATTGTGAGCGTAATGGTAGTACATGTCATATGTTTCTTTCTCACTGTTACAGACAACCTATGAACAAGAAAATCTATTTAAACACTTCAATTTTAACATTAGGAAATAGCCAAACTAATTGGCAACAGCATCAGTACCTAGCGGTACCGATCGCGGTATCGATCGGTACCGACCGGTCACAAACGGTACCAAACGGTACCTAGGAGCCTCGTGCCCACCAAAAAATACCTTTCAAAAGAAAAATTATTAAACAAAACACTGAAGTCACGACATTCATATCATATGTACCAATAATATCTCCAACTTATCTTCGGTATTTTGCTGAAAAGCATCTTTTCCTCTTTGCTATGTCTCTTGAGTAACGTCGTACATCTCCGACC